ATGTATGGGGGCGGGGCACATGACCGGGCCATCTACCCCATTGGCTTTGTTATGTATGGGGGTGGGGCACATGACCGGCCATCTACCCCATTGGCCTTGTTATGTATGGGGGCGGGGCACATGACCGGACCATCTACCCCATTGGCCTTGTTATGTATGGGGGCAGGGCACATGACCGGGCCATCTACCCCATTGGCCTTGTTATGTATGGGGGCGGGGCACATGACCCGGCCATCTACCCCATTGGCCTTGTTATGTATGGGGGCGGGGCACATGACCGGACCATCTACCTCATTGTCCTTGTTATGTATGGGGGCGGGGCACATGATCGGACCATCTACCCCATTGGCCTTGTTATGTATGGGGGCGGGGCACATGACCGGGCCATCTACCCCATTGGCCTTGTTATGTATGGGGGCGGGGCACATGACCGGGCCATCTACCCCATTGGCTTTGTTATGTATGGGGGTGGGGCACATGACCGGGCCATCTACCCCATTGGCCTTGTTATGTATGGGGGCGGGGCACATGACCGGGCCATCTACCCCATTGGCCTTGTTATGTATGGGGGTGGGGCACATGACCGGACCATCTACCCCATTGGCCTTGTTATGTATGGGGGCGGGGCACATGACCAAGCCATCTACCCCATTGGCCTTGTTATGTATGGGGGCGGGGCACATGACCGGGCCATCTACCCCATTGTCCTTGTTATGTATGGGGGCGGAGCACATGACCGGACCATCTACCCCATTGGCCTTGTTATGTATGGGGGCGGGGCACATGACCGGCCCCCGTTTCTCTCTCATTACCGCGTACAATATACTGCCAACAAATACTTTTTTTTCAGCCGTTTCCCAGGAGGTGGCAGCACTGCCTCAGCCACTGAATGTCAATGAGCAGTAATAGCATGGCAGGCATGGAACTACAAGGACGGGTAAGGAGAGTGCACAAGGAGTGCTGGGGTCACTGGAGTGCACAGGGAGTGCTGGGGTCACTGGAGTGCACAGGGAGTGCTGGGGTCACTGGAGTGCACAGGGAGTGCTGGGGTCACTGGAGTGCACAAGGAGTGCTGGGGTCACTGGAGTGCACAAGGAGTGCTGGGGTCACTGGAGTGCACAAGGAATGTTGGGGTCACTGGAGTGCACAAGGAGTGCTGGGGTCACTGGAGTGCACAAGGAATGTTGGGGTCACTGGAGTGCACAAGGAATGTTGGAGTCACTGGAGTGCACAAGGAATGTTGGAGTCACTGGAGTGCACAGGGAGTGCTGGGGTCACTGGAGTGCACAGGGAGTGCTGGGGTCACTGGAGTGCACAGGGAGTGCTGGGGTCACTGGAGTGCACAGGGAGTGCTGGGGTCATTGGAGTGCACAGGGAGTGCTGGGGTCATTGGAGTGCACAGGGAGTGCTGGGGTCACTGGAGTGCACAGGGAGTGCTGGGGTCACTGGAGTGCACAGGGAGTGCTGGGGTCACTGGAGTGCACAGGGAGTGCTGGGGTCACTGGAGTGCACAAGGAATGTTGGGGTCACTGGAGTGCACAAGGAATGTTGGGGTCACTGGAGTGCACAAGGAATGTTGGGATCACTGGAGTGTACAAGGAATGTTGGGGTCACTGGAGTGCACAGGGAGTGCTGGGGTCACTGGAGTGCACAGGGAGTGCTGGGGTCACTGGAGTGCACAAAGAATGTTGGGGTCACTGGAGTATACAAGGAATGTTGGGGTCACTAAAGTGCACAAGGAATGTTGGGGTCACTGGAGTGTACAAGGAATGTTGGGGTCACTGGAGTGCACAGGGAGTGCTGGGGTCACTGGAGTGCACAGGGAGTGCTGGGGTCACTGGAGTGCACAAGGAATGTTGGGGTCACTGGAGTGCACAAGGAATGTTGGGGTCACTGGAGTGCACAAGGAATGTTGGGGTCACTGGAGTGTACAAGGAATGTTGGGGTCACTGGAGTGCACAGGGAGTGCTGGGGTCACTGGTGTGCACAAGGAATGTTGGAGTCACTGGAGTGCACAAAGAATGTTGGGGTCACTGGAGTATACAAGGAATGTTGGGGTCACTGGAGTGCACAAAGAATGTTGGGGTCACTGGTGTGTACAAGGAATGTTGGGGTCACTGGAGTGCACAAGGAATGTTGGAGTCACTGGAGTGCACAGGGAGTGCTGGGGTCACTGGAGTGCACAGGGAGTGCTGGGGTCATGGAATGCACAGGGAGTGCTGGGGTCATGGAATGCACAGGGAGTGCTGGGGTCACTGGAGTGCACAGGGAGTGCTGGGGTCACTGGAGTGCACAAAGAATGTTGGGGTCAGTAGATACACTGAAAATCTTGGGGCCATTGGAGTACATTGGGTTCACTGGAGACAATGGAGACACAGGAGGCTGGGGTCACAAGAAACACTGGGGTCACTGTAGTGCACAAGGAGCGCTGGGGTCACTGTAGTGCACAAGGAGCGCTGGGGTCACTGAAGATACTGAAGCTACAGGAGACCAAGCTCATTAGAAACACTGGGGACACTGGAGTGCAGAGGGAGTGCTCAGAGAACACTGGGGTTACTGGAGACACTGAAGTCACTGGAGTGCTCAGAGGACACTGTAGACATTGGGGTCACTGGAGACACTGGGGTCACTGTAGTGCGCAGGGCACACTGGGGTCAGTGAAGACATAGGGAAGGGGAGTCCTTAAAACACTGGAGACCTTGCAGGTCACTGAAGCAACACAATGCTGGAGGCACTGGAGTACTCTGAGAGCACTGAGGTCACTAGAAACACTGGGGCCACTGGAGTGCGCAAAGAGCACTGGGGTCACTGAAGATAATGGAGCCATAGAACGCTGGGCTCATTTGAAACATTGGGGTCACTGGGGACACTGGTGGCACCTGGAATAATAAAGCCACAGGAGGCTGGGGTCACTAGACTGCAGAGGGGGTGCTGGGGTCACTAGAGACACTGGAAACCCTGTGGGCACTGGACAAACTGGAAACCCTGTGGCCATTGGGGACACTGGAAACCCCGGCATCACTGAAGACACTGGAAACCCTGGGGTCATTGGAGACACTAGAAACCCTGTGGGTACTGGAGACGCTGGAAACCCTGGGGGAATTGGAGACACTGGAAACCCTGCAGGTTCTGGAGACACTGGAAACCCTGGGGGCACTGCAGACACAGGAAACCCTGGGGGCACTGGAGACATTGGAAACCCTTGAGGCACTGGAGACACTGGAAGCCCTGTGAGCATTGCAGACACTGGAGACCCTGGGGGCACTGGAGACACTGGAAACCCTGGGGGCACTGGAAACCCTGGGGTCACTGGAGTCACCGAAATGTGGTCACTTCCAGGTGGTTTGTATTTTCCTCAGATAGTCCTTTATGGTGTTCCAGATCTTCTACCCTGAGGGCCCTCTTCAGTTGGGGCCCCACACTGCCTTGGCTTTGTCACATCCCTGTGAGCACTGAAGACACTGGAAACCCTGGTGACACTGGAGATACTGGAATCCCTGGGGGCACTGGAGACACTGGAAACTCTGGGGGCACTGGAGACACTGGAAACCCTGGTGACACTGGAGATACTGGAAACCCTGGGGGCACTGGAGTACACTGGAAACTCTGGGGCACTGGAGACACTGGAAACTCGGGGGGCACTGGAGTACACTGGAAACCCGGGGGGCACTGGAGTACACTGGAAACCCTGGGGGCACTGGAGACACTGGAGTCAGCGAAATGCGGTCACTTCCAGGTGGTTTGTATTTTCCTCAGATAGTCCTTTATGGTGTTCCAGATCTTCTACCCTGAGGGCCCTCTTCAGTTGGGGCCCCACACTGCCTTGGCTTTGTCACATCCCTGTGAGCACTGAAGACACTGGAAACCCTGGTGACACTGGAGATACTGGAATCCCTGGGGGCACTGGAGACACTGGAAACCCTGGTGACACTGGAGATACTGGAAACCCTGGGGGCACTGGAGTACACTGGAAACTCTGGGGCACTGGAGTACACTGGAAACCCGGGGGGCACTGGAGTACACTGGAAACCCGGGGGGCACTGGAGTACACTGGAAACCCGGGGGGCACTGGAGTACACTGGAAACCCTGGGGGCACTGGAGACACTGGAGTCACCGAAATGCGGTCACTTCCAGGTGGTTTGTATTTTCCTCAGTCCTTTATGGTGTTCCAGATCTTCTAAACCTGAGGGCCCTCTTCAGTTGGGGCCCCGCACTGCCTTGCCTTTGTCACATCCCCCACCTGCTGCCACATACTGGACAGGGCCTGTCTGATGACCTGAAAGTCTGACTACAGCAGACCACGTGACGTGTGCCGAGGCCGGTGCCCACTACTGACACAGAGGGGCCACGTTCCTCGTATTCTCGGTGATGAGGGAATAATAACACGGAATTGTATTGTTCAGTCCTATGAATGTTATCAGCAACCAATCCCCACCCCCCCCCCCCCCGCTCTCCCCCTCCCCCCTCCCCCGCTCTAATTCATTCTGTACCACAACTGATAACAGAGAACTTTTATTTGTATTTAATCAGAAAACAGGAAGTTGAGAGAGGAACCGACCCGAGATCCGGAACGCATCATTCAACTGTCCTCAAGAGTCCGTCCAGAACTGATCATTTATGTGTTCCGTGTATGCTGGAACATTATTCACACCTGCTGTGCCCATTATGTGGTTCCCACCATCCCTGTGCCCATTATGAGGGGTTCCCACCATCCCTGTGCCCATTATGAGGGGTTCCCACCATCCCTGTGCCCATTATGAGGGGTTCCCACCATCCCTGTACCCCCTCTGTGCCCATTATGAGGGGTTCCCACCATCCCTGTGCTGAATTACTGGGTCTGTACATCCACTGTGCCCATTATGAGGGGTTCCCACCATCCCTGTACCCTTGCTGTGCCCATTATGAGGGGTTCCCACCATCCCTGTGCCAAGTTCCTGGGTCTGTACACCCTCTGTGCCCATTATGATGAGTTCCCACCATCCCTGTGCTGAGTTCTCAGGTCTGTACACCCCCTGTGCCCATTATGAGGGGTTCCCACCATCTCTGTGCTGAGTTCCCGGGTCTGTACACCCGCTGTGCCCATTATGAGGGGTTCCCACCATCTCTGTGCCGAGGTCCCGGGTCTGTACACCCGCTGTGCCCATTATGAGGGAGTTCCCACCATCCCTGTGCTGAGTTCTCGGGTCTGTACACCCGCTGTGCCCATTATGAGGGGTTCCCACCATCTCTGTGCTGAGTTTCCCGGGTCTGTACACCCGCTGTGCCCATTATGAGGGGTTCCCACCATCTCTGTGCTGAGTTCCCGGGTCTGCACATCTGCTGTGCCCATTATGAGAAGTTCCCACCATCCCTGTGCTGAGTTCCCGGGTCTGCACATCTGCTGTGCCCATTATGAGGGGTTCCCACCATCCCTGTGCTGAGTTCCCGGGTCTGTACACACCCGTGGCCCATTATGAGGGGTTCCCACCATCTGCCCGGGTCTGTACACCCGCTGTGCCCATTATGAGGGGTTCCCACCATCCCTGTGCTGAGTTCCCGGGTCTGCACATCTGCTGTGCCCATTATGAGGGGTTCCCACCATCCCTGTGCTGAGTTCCCGGGTCTGCACATCTGCTGTGCCCATTATGAGGGGTTCCCACCATCCCTGTGCTGAGTTCCCGGGTCTGCACATCTGCTGTGCCCATTATGAGGGGTTCCCACCATCCCTGTGCCCATTATGAGGAGTTATTACTGTCCATGCCCTATCTCTATGGCTGTCCGGCTCTATCTATATGAACCCTGGAGGACACGTCTTGGTGGTCATGTAACCAGCAGATGTTTGTCCTTTGTACAATGTATGACAACAGGAAGGAAGGATTCCCTCCACGTCTCCATAGATGTTTGGTGGAGGACGGTATGAGACGTTCGGGTCTCCATCTGCCTCCTTGTCTCATGAGCTGGTCGTTGGTGATTCTGGTAGAGATGATGGTAAGTAGAGGTAAGTGGCCAATCTGGTGAGATTATGGACAGACCAGAAGACGGGGAGCCAGGATGAAGCTACACTTATCATACTGTTCACAAAGCTTCGCCGTCCCCGGAGATCGGAGGGTCCATCTGTCCACCATCGGCCTCCCTACCTGACCCCAGCAATGTCCACCATCGGCCTCTCTACCTGACCTCAGCAATGTCCACCATCGGCCTCTCTACCTGACCCCAGCAATGTCCACCATCGGCCTCTCTACCTGACCCCAGCAATGTCCACCATCGGCCTCTCTACCTGACCCCAGCAATGTCCACCATCGGCCTCTCTACCTGACCCCAGCAATGTCCACCATCGGCCTCTCTACCTGACCCCAGCAATGTCCACCATCGGCCTCCTACCTGACCCCAGCAATGTCCACCATCGGCCTCTCTACCTGACCCCAGCAATGTCCACCATCGGCCTCTCTACCTGACCCCAGCAATGTCCATCATTGGCCTCTCTACCTGACCCCAGCAATGTCCACCATCGGCCTCTCTACCTGACCCCAGCAATGTCCACCATCGGCCTCTCTACCTGACCCCAGCAATGTCCACCATCGGCCTCTCTACCTGACCCCAGCAATGTCCACCATCGGCCTCTCTACCTGACCCCAGCAATGTCCACCATCGGCCTCCTCTACCTGACCCCAGCAATGTCCACCATCGGCCTCTCTACCTGACCCCAGCAATGTCCACCATCGGCCTCTCTACCTGACCCCAGCAATGTCCACCATCGGCCTATCTACCTGACCCCAGCAATGTCCACCATCGGCCTCTCTACCTGACCCCAGCAATGTCCACCATCGGCCTCTCTACCTGACCCCAGCAATGTCCACCATCGGCCTCCTACCTGACCCCAGCAATATCCACCATCGCCTCTCTACCTGACCCCAGCAATGTCCACCATCGGCCTCTCTACCTGACCCCAGCAATGTCCACCATCGGCCTCTCTACCTGACCCCAGCAATGTCCACCATCGGCCTCTCTACCTGACCCCAGCAATGTCCACCATCGGCCTCTCTACCTGACCCCAGCAATATCCACCATCGGCCTCTCTACCTGACCCCAGCAATGTCCACCATCGGCCTCTCTACCTGACCCCAGCAATGTCCACCATCGGCCTCTCTACCTGACCCCAGCAATGTCCACCATCGGCCTCTCTACCTGACCCCAGCAATGTCCACCATCGGCCTCTCTACCTGACCCCAGCAATGTCCACCATCGGACCTCTCTACCTGACCCCAACAATGTCTACCATCGGCCTCTCTACCTGACCCCAGCAATGCCACCAATGGAGTTCCAATCCCCTCCATATCATGTGATTCCGGTGTTCCAATCCCCTCCATATCATGTGATTCAGGTGTTCCAATCCTCTCCATATCATGTGATTCAGGTGTTCCAATCCCCTCCAATCATGTGATTCAGGTGTTCCAATCCCCTCCATATCATGTGATTCCGGTGTTCCAATCCCCTCCCAATCATGTGATTCAGGTGCTCCAATCCCCTCCATATCATGTGATTCAGGTGTTCCAATCCTCTCCCTATCATATGATTCAAATGTTCCAATCCCCTCCATATCATGTGATTCAGGTGTTCCAATCCCCTCCAATCATGTGATTCAGGTGTTCCAATCCCCTCCATATCATGTGATTAGGGTGCTCCAATCCCCTCCATATCATGTGATTCAGGTGTTCCAACACCCTCCCAATCATGTGATTCAGGTGTTCCAATCCCCTCCATATCATGTGATTCAGGTGTTCCAATCCCCTCCATCTCATGTGATTCAGGTGTTCCAATCCCCTCCATATCATGTGATTCAGGTGTTCCAATCCCCTCCCAATCATGTGATTCAGGTGTTCCAATCCCCTCCCAATCATGTGATTCAGGTGTTCCAAGTCCCCTCCATGGACACAGGTGTACACAATCAAGCCCCTAGGCATGCAGACTGCTTCTATAAACATTGGGGAAAGAATGGGTCGCCCTCAGGAGCTCAGAGACCTGGTCTACCGGGGTTATCCCTGAGGATAAGGTAAGTATTCTATGCTGTATGTCTATGGTGATGGGTCTACTGGGGTTATCTCTTACCCACTCACAGACCTCTCAGTCCATCTCCCAAAGGATCAGATGACCACTTACCCACTCATAGACCTCTCAGTCCATCTCCCAAGGGATCAGATGACCACTTACCCACTCATAGACCTCTCAGACTACCTCCCAAGGGATCAGATGACCACTTACCCACTCACAGACCTCTCAGTCATCTCCCAAGGGATCAGATGAGCACTTACCCACTCACAGACCTCTCAGTCTACCTCCCAAGGGATCAGATGACCACTTACCCACTCACAGACCTCTCAGTCTACCTCCCAGGGATGAGATGAGCACTTACCCACTCACAGACCTCTCAGTCCATCTCCCAGGGGATCAGGTGAGCACTTACCCACTCACAGACCTCTCAGTCCATCTCCCAAGGGATCAGACAACCACTTACCCACTCACAGACCTCTCAGTACATCTCACAAGGGATCAGATGACCACTTACCCACTCACAGACCTTTAAGTCTACCTCCCAAGGGATCAGATGAGCACTTACCCACTCACTGGCCTCTCAGTCCATCTCCCAAGGGATCAGACGACCACTTACCCACTCATAGACCTCTCAGTCCATCTCCAAGGGATCAGATGACCACTTACCCACTCACAGACCACTCAGTTCATCTCCCAAGGGATCAGATGACCATGTACCCATTCACAGACCTCTCAGTCCATCTCCCAATGGATCAGATGAGCACTTACCCACGCATAGACCTCTCAGTCCATCTCCCAAGGGATCAGATGAGTACTTACCCACTCACAGACCTCTCAGTCCATCTCCCAAGGGATCAGATGACCACTTACCTTCTCACAGACCACTCAGTTTATCTCTCAAGGGATCAGATGACCATTTACCACTCTCAGACCTCTCAGTCCATCTCCCAAGTGATCAGATGACCACGGACCTACTCACAGACCTATCAGTCCACCTCCTAAGGGATTAGATGACCATTTACCTGTTCAGAGACCTCTCAGTCCAGCTCCTAAGGGATCAGATGACCACTTACCTTCTCACAGACCTTTCAGTCCACCTCCCAAAGGAATTAGATGACCACTTACCACTCATACACCTCTCCCTCCACCTCCAGAGTTATCAGTCAAGCAATGAGCCACCCCCAGACTTCGCACTCCACCTCCGGAGAGATCAGCCCAGCAATGACCAACTCATAGACATCTCACACATAAAGTAGGACGTAAATGCTTTTGTAACCAGAAGAAATTCCTCTGCTCTGGTGGTTTGGTCTCAGTCTACAACATGTCAATCTACAAAGAATAAAAGACAAAAACTTCTCACACCATCAAGTGATTTTAATGGCTAAATAAAAAATTAGAGGAGAGAAATACATCTTGCTATTGGGAAATAACACGGAAGGCCTATTCTCAATAGAAAGACCATTTTTGGGGGTTGAGTGAGTCAGAAGGTCTATCCCTTCCTCATTCTACTTAGTATGAGCATTTGTCTTTGTTGGGGAGATGTTCAATGTTCTATCCAAAAAAAATCAAAAGTTTTGGTTTGGGTTAGGCTTTAAAAGAAATCAGGAGACTGTTTCAGGAAACATTTGACCACCCTCTCTCGTATTTGCCTGGTTCTTACACCGTACACCAAAGGGTTCAGCACGGGGGGGATGATAAGGTAGGAGTTGGCCAGCAGGATGTGTGTATGGTGAGGGACGTTCTTCCCAAATCTGTGCACCAAGGATGAGCAAAGGATTGGTGTGAAAAATGCCAGGATGGCACAGACGTGAGAAGTGCATGTCCCGAAAGATTTCAAGCGAGCCTTAACACTTAGCTTCAGAAGGGCTCGAAGGATCATCACATATGAGAAAGCGATGAACACTGAATCCATACCCAACACAAGGAAGCCAATGACCATGCCAAGATGGTTGTTGAATGAGACGTCACCGCAAGCCAGCCTTACCACCCCCGCCATGTGTTCGCAGTATGAGTGGAAAATGACATTACTGGTGTACAGGTGGAGTCTCTGAGCCAGAAGAGGAAGTGGAAGGATGTAGACCACCCCACGCAGGACCGCTAATACTCCACTAATAATAATAACACTTGGGGTCACTGTGACAGAATACCGTAGAGGGTTGCATATAGCTACATATCGATCGTAGGCCATGGCTACAAAGATTCCTGACTCAATGGTAGAGAACGAATGTAGAAAGAACATCTGAAGAAAACACATATGGTAGTCAATCTCAATCTGATTGAACCAGAAGATGCAAAGGAGCTTTGGCACGGTGGAATTGGCCAATATGATGTCAACGAAAGCAAGAATGGTGAAATAGATGTACATGGGCTGGTGGAGACTGACGTCCAAGAAGATGATGAGCAGGACGACGTAGTTCCCAACGATGGCAAACAGGAACATTGAGAAGACGGGAACAGAGATCCAGACATGGAGGTATTCCAGACCAGGGATACCCAACAAAACGAAGGAAGATGGGTAGAAGCAGCTTTCATTGACCGTCGCCATTGTAGATTTCAAACATTACTTCCTGGAAAGAGAAGAAATAATGAGGTCCTAAGAAATGAGGTCAAAGATTATGACATAAGTCAAGCTTGCTAATAAAGGTTTGAAGATAAATCCAGGATAAAAATGAATACATTAGAATAGCTAGTGACCTGCGTCTGCTTTTTGGACATGTGGATGTACACAAAGGTTTTCAGGAGACAAGGCCCAGTTTTGATAATGGTGGTGCTTGGATACAAGCTGGTCATTGTCTACCCAGCCGTGACCCTCAGCCGTCAACAAGATGTCCAAATCTAACCCAAGCACTCCACTTCTGAGCCCACAGGATATAATTGCTAGAAAATAATAGCCAAGTGCCCACAATCTGACACCGGGTGATGTATCGGTGTGAACGTTGGAACGGAAGCAATAAAATCTACGGCCCATAATTCACAGTGAACACTAAACTGATAACCTGTGAAGGCCTTTGAAGCGTCACCTGCGGAGAATTTGGTTACTATATATTTTTTTTTTTTTTGCAATTTCATGAAAAATGTTTAAAGCTTGACATGTTTGGTATCTATTTACCCAACACAACCCCATCCTTTATATTTTACTAAACATTTGGGTATTATATTTTGTTTATTTGCCACCCCAAAAATGATTCTGGTTGTATTTGTTTCCTGAAAATATGCATTTGATAAATAACTGAGCAAATATCAAGCAACATGAAAAATGGCAACTATCACCATTGTATTCTCCAAGGTCTCTGCTTTCGGAAAATATACACCAATCAGCCATAACATTCTGATCAATGGCAGGTAAAGTGAATCACATGGATTATCTCCTGACAATGACATCTGAAAGTGGGTGGGATTTATTAGGCAGCAAGGGAACATGTTGTCTCTGAAGTTAATGCGTTTCCATGATAATGGACTAATGGCCATGGGCTCCTTGGGACCCTGCCTTTGATTCCATGATAATGGACTAATGGCCATGGGCTCCTTGGGACCCTGCCTTTGTTTTCCATGATAATGGACTAATGGCCATGGGCTCCTTGGGACCCTGCCTTTGATTCCATGATAATGGACTAATGGCCATGGGCTCCTTGGGACCCTGACTTTGTTTCCATGATAATGGACTAAGGGCCATGGGCTCCTTGGGACCCTGCCTTTGATTCCATGATAATGGACTAATGGCCATGTGCTCCTTGGGACCCTGTCTTTGATTCCATGATAATGGACTAAGGGCCATGGGCTCCTTGGGACCCTGTCTTTGATTCCACGATAATGGACTAAGGGCCATGGGCTCCTTGGGACCCTGTCTTTGATTCCACGATAATGGACTAATGGCCATGGGCTCCTTGGGACCCTGTCTTTGATTCCACGATAATGGACTAAGGGCCATGGGCTCCTTGGGACCCTGCCTTTGATTCCATGATAATGGACTAAAGGCCATGTGCTCCTTGGGACCCTGTCTTTGATTCCACGATAATGGACTAAGGGCCATGGGCTCCTTGGGACCCTGTCTTTGATTCCATGATAATGGACTAAGGGCCATGGGCTCCTTGGGACCCTGCCTTTGATTCCATGATAATGGACTAAGGGCCATGGGCTCCTTGGGACCCTGTCTTTGATTCCACGATAATGGACTAAGGGCCATGGGCTCCTTGGGACCCTGTCTTTGATTCCATGATAATGGACTAAGGGCCATGGGCTCCTTGGGACCCTGTCTTTGATTCCATGATAATGGATTAAGGGCCATGGGCTCCTTGGGACCCTGTCTTTGATTCCATGATAATGGATTAAGGGCCATGGGCTCCTTGGGACCCTGTCTTTGATTCCACGATAATGGACTAAGGGCCATGGGCTCCTTGGGACCCTGTCTTTGATTCCATGATAATGGATTAAGGGCCATGGGCTCCTTGGGACCCTGTCTTTGATTCCATGATAATGGACTAAGGGCCATGGGCTCCTTGGGACCCTGTCTTTGATTCCATGATAATGGACTAAGGGCCATGGGCTCCTTGGGACCCTGTCTTTGATTCCATGATAATGGATTAAGGGCCATGGGCTCCTTGGGACCCTGTCTTTGATTCCATGATAATGGACTAAGGGCCATGGGCTCCTTGGGACCCTGTCTTTGATTCCATGATTATTATTATTATTTATACAGGATTTATATGGCGGCAGAAGGTTTGCTCAGCGCTGTACATTATAGTGGGGACAGAACATGAGACAATACAGTAACAATACAATACACGAGGGGTGCGAGGACCCTGATCCTTGGAGCTTACAATCTAGGAGGGGGAGGGGTAGTGGTACAGGAGGAAGTGGCTGTGGGGGGGATGGAGTGGTAGGAGGAGTGGAGGAGATCGGCTGTTAGGTGGGGGTGGGGTAGGCTTCCCTGAAGAGATGGGTTTTCAGGGTGCGCCTAAAGGTGAGGAGGGTAGGTGACAGTCTGATGGATTGGGGTAGTGAGTTCCAGAGGATGGGGGAAGACCTGGAGAAGTCCTGCAGTCGGGCATGGGAGGAGGAGACCAGGGAGCTAGAAAGTAGGAGGTCTTGTGAGGAGCGAAGATTACGAATTGGGTGGTATTTGGGTATCAGGTCGGTGAGGTAGTTTGGGGCGGAGTTATGAATGGCTTTGTATGTCAGTGTTAGGAGTTTGAATTCTATGCATTGGGCAATCGGGAGCCAGTGGAGGGAATGACAGAGGGGGGGTGGAGGACACTGAGTGGAGGCCAGTGGAGGGAATGACAGAGGGGGGTGGAGGACACTGAGTGGAGGCCAGTGGAGGGAATGACAGAGGGGGGGGGAGGACAGTGAGTGGAGGCCAGTGGAGGGAATGACAGAGGGGGGTGGGAGGACACTGAGTGGAGGTCAGTAGAGGGAATTACAGAGGGGGGTGGAGGACTGAGTGGAGGCCAGTGGAGGGAATGACAGAGGGGGGTGGAGGGGAGGACACTGAGTGGAGGCCAGTGGAGGGAATGACAGAGGGGGGTGGAGGACACTGAGTGGAGGCCAGTGGAGGGAATGACAGAGGAGGGGGGTGGAGGACACTGAGTGGAGGCCAGTGGAGGGAATGACAGAGGGGGGTGGCAGAAGCAGAGTGGTTGGTGAGGTCTGCCAATGATTGGACATGGGGTGGGAAGGACAGGTTTGAGTCTAGAGTGACACCTAGGACTTTGGCTTGTGGGGTGGGACTGATGGTGGTGTTGTTGGATGTGATGGAGAGGGTGGGTGGGGGGGGGGCGCGGGGGGGGGGGGGGGGGGGGGGGGAATACTAGAAGCTCAGTTTTGGAAAGGTCTAATTTGAGGAAGTGGAGTGACATCCAGTCTGATATGTCGTTCAGGAGGTGAGTGATTCGGGCGGAGACTGAAGGGGTGAGGTGGGGGGTGGAGAGGTAGATTTGTGTGACATCGGCGTAGAGGTGGTAGTTGAAGCCGTGGGAGTGTATCAGTTTGCCGAGGGAGGAGGTGTAGATGGAGAAGAGAAGGGGCCTGAGGACAGAGCCTTGGGGGACCCCAACAGAGAGGGGGAGGGAGGGGGAGGTGGTAGCATTATAGGTAACACTGAAGGAGCGTTGGGATAGATAGGAGGAGAGCCCAGAGAGGGCGGAGTCTCTGAGGCTAAGGGAGTGTAGTTTATTAAGAAGGAGGGGGCGGTCAACTGTGTTGAAGGCCGAGGAGAGGTCGAGGAGTAGGAGGACTGAGTAGGACTGATAATGGACTAAGGGCCATGGGCTCCTTGGGACAGTGCCTGTCATGCACCGCCCAACAATACCTCTAGTGATCCACAGAACGGGATTCCTCAGGGCGCGGAGTCTAAGTTCCAATCTGCTTATTCACCAGGGCCCCTGATGGTGGGGATGGGCTTGGAGCAGACCGAGACCAGGTTGCGACCCCTGAGTGCACCCAACTGTGGCAGAGGGAACCGCCGGGGGTATGTACTGGAAGAGAGCCTGATGTGAAGAGGCTGGCAGACCCGGGCAGGGGGAACTGGATCCGTGCAGGTTGGATGGACGGATGACAGTGCAGGTATAGCGTAGTCAGACGGGCCAGGTCAGTCACAGCCAAGTCAGGATGGTACAGAGCAGTGGGCAGAGAGTAGTCGGGTCACAAGCCAGGTTCAGCAACAGGAGGTCAAGCAATCAGGAGTAGGCAGAAGAGTAGTCAAACGAGCCAGAGGTCAGGGCAGGAGAAGTCAACAGGAACCAGGATCAAGCAGAGTCAGGACCAAGGGATATCACTCAGGAACAGATCAGCAGGGAACAAGGAACGAAGACCACACGGCAACTTGAGTCTGCAGAGGGCTGGTTCCTGGTTCCTGTTCCTGTACCTCGCTGCCTGGCTGTGTACCGATCCCGGCTCGTCTCTGCCTGATGTTCCTGTACCTCGCTGCCGTGTGTACCAATCCCGGCTCGTCTCTGCCTGATGTTCCTGTACCTCGCTGCCGTGTACCAATCCCGGCTCGTCTCTGCCTGATGTTCCTGTACCTCGCTGCCGTGTACCAATCCCGGCTCGTCTCTGCCTGATGTTCCTGTACCCCGCTGCCTGGCTGTGTACCAATCCCGGCTCGTCTCTGCCTGATGTTCCTGTACCTCGCTGCCTGGCTGTGTACCAATCCCGGCTCGTCTCTGCCTGATGTTCCTGTACCTTGCTGCCGTGTACCAATCCCGGCTCGTCTCTGCCTGATGTTCCTGTACCCCCGCTGCCCGGCTGTGTACCAATCCCGGCTCGTCTCTGCCTGATGTTCCTGTACCCCGCTGCCCGGCTGTGTACCAATCCCGGCTCGTCTCTGCCTGATGTTCCTGTACCCCGCTGCCCGGCTGTGTACCAATCCCGGCTCGTCTCTGCCTGATGTTCCTGTACCTTGCTGCCCGGCTGTGTACCAATCCCGGCTCGTCTCTGCCTGATGTTCCTGTACCTCAATGCCCTGCCGTGTACCAATCCCGGCTCGTCTCTGCCTGATGTTCCTGTACCCCGCTGCCTGGCTGTGTACCAATCCCGGCTCGTCTCTGC